ACGCTGAAGGATCTCATCTACGACATGACAACCTCCGGCTCCGGCTCAGGTAAGGGGGGCTTCGCCGCCCGGTTTTGCAGCAAATCTCGATGCTCGCTGCGAAGGCGAGCACCCGCCTTGGTGGGAGGGCGACGAGAGGGGCTGCCTGCCGGCTTTGGGGTGCGCGGCGGGGGTGCGGGTTATCTCAGGCTCCTCCACCACTGACAAGTTGTGTGTCAAGGGAGGTTTTGTGCTGATGTGCTCGGCCGCACCTTGAGCCGCGAAAGGGCTTAGTTTGCTCTTTTTCTGTCAAATTGCAGAGTTTTGACTCTGTTTGAAGAGTTCAGAAGCTGGTTTGGAAATAAGTCCCCCCACAAAAGGCAACACATAATAAAACGTCGTAAATGCAACCGAATGATGCGACTCCTGACGTTTTCATAGCGCTGCCAAAGTAGCGTTACTCCAAATTCTTGGTGTCGAGCAGAACACCAAGCTTTTCAATATTCTTGCCCCTTTCTGACACCCTGTACTGTGATGCTGCCGCTGCTACCGAGAACTTCTTAAATCAAAGAAATGCAAAAATCAAGTGGGAATTCAGAAATTCCAGCACAGGTGGTGCCACATTGGGTGTGCACGGCCCAGTTTTCTGTAACCAGAGGTTTTATTTGCCTGAAAAATATGTCAATTAACCCTAGTTTTATTTATAACTGAAAGATTTATAAATGGTGCTTAATTTAATTGTTATTTTCCATGAACCACATCCATTTCAGGGTTAATTTATTGTCCTTCCCTGATGTTTTTTCACGGATCTAATGAGTAAACTTTGGCTTCATTTACGCTGAAATCTTAGCTGTCGGTAGTCATCCCTGAGCTAAGGAGGGCTTCGTTTGTGCTGACCCGCGGTGGGCGCAGCCTGAGGCAAAGGGAGTGCAGGGGTGAGGGTGTGAGGGCTCTGCCAGGGAAACCGGAGGGAAAATTTGAGTACATTTGAATAAGCTGACCTTCAAACCATAGTTCTTCTGTGTTATTTTGCTCTGTTAAAAGCAAGGTTGTCCTTATGTATAAAAAAACACTAAAATTCTGTAGGGCCCAAAGAAATACAGTATCAGATCAGACGAGGGGTTTATGGTTAGCAAAACAAAATGGAACTGCTGTGATAATTTATTTTTCTTGTTGAGAATTTCAGCTAGAACAGGCGAGTTACTTGACTGTGAAGCAAACTAGAGTCCACACCAAACCAAATGAGCAGTTCAGGCCGTTTTTTTATTGTTACTGTGGTTTATGTTGTTCTTTTTAACTATTTTTTACTTGGTATTAGGGAGGGAGAGTTTGGGGAAAAAAGGGTCCCTGTGTCATACGGGTCTCCTGGCTTTGGAAAATGCGGGCGTGTGGGGGTTTCCTTGGGACAGTGAGGGGAGGAGACCTGGCTTTGGGCAGGGCGGGTGGCAGTGGCCTGGCAGACCTTTTCCATTTCTTTCCTCTGCCCCCGTTGTCTGGAAGGGTCCGTAATCCCTGCTGTCACCCTGACGGGGTTACGGCTCGTGGAGGGATCTGGGCCTTGCTCCCCAAGTGCGCGGGGTCCCTGGTGCCCCTTGGCAGGCTGGTCCCCAGCACGCCCCGGACCCCGATGCCGTGGTCCTCGGTCTGCGCGGCGCTGGCGGCAGGGAGGGCTCGCGCGTCCTGCCACGAGCTCGTGGTACCCCGTGACAGGCGCGGCGTACGCTTGTCCGGCACATCACGTTAAGTACGATGAGGGGGTTTTGGTGGGGAGAGGGTTTTCCCTTGGTGCCCTTTGAAAGCAAAGTCACGAGCACAGCTGGGCTCTGGGATGCGAGGGCCGGTGCTGAAGCGTTTCAAACACCCGTCTCCTCTCTCCAAACCAGGCTTACCTCTGCTCGTACAGCGCACCATCGCCAGGCGGAAAATGGTGCGGGGAAGACGTAGCTGTGAAAATCTTCTCCTCCAGGGACGAACGGTCGTGGTTTCGGGAGGCAGAAATCTATCAGACGGTTATGCTGAGGCACGAGAACATCCTGGGCTTCATTGCTGCCGATAACAAGGGTATGCTGCCAGCTGGGTGGGAGGTCCGAGCGGTCCTTGGCATTGCTCTGGCTGTCCAGGGCTCCTTCCCAGCAAAGTGACCGGCAAACTAAGCCGGCCCCAGAACGGGGAAGGCTTTGACCGGCTGATTTTTTCAATAAAAGTGAATAATCTCGCTTCCTCCGGGTAGATAACGGGACGTGGACGCAGCTCTGGCTTGTCTCCGAGTACCACGAGCAAGGGTCCCTGTTCGACTACCTGAACAGAGGCACGGTGACGGTGGAGGGCATGGTCAAGCTGGCCCTCTCAGTGGCCAGCGGCCTGGCACACCTGCACATGGAGATCGTCGGCACCCAAGGCGAGTGCTCCCCTCCCACTTGTCCTTCCAGTATTTTGGGGACCTTCAGTGTTATTTGCAAAGACGTTTGTGGGTTACGTGGTATAAGCGAAGCATTTTACAAGCTGTTACACCACAAGAAACAGTATTAGCGTACGTGGTGCGGTATGAAGGGAGAACCGGAATGTCGTCTTTCCCCCTCCCCTGTCTGCGCCTCCTTCCGTGTCTCTAAGCGGATGGCTGTGGGAGCAGCTGTGAAGGATTTTCTGAATCACAGAACCATGGAACAGTTTGGGTGGGGAGGGGCCTTAAAGCCTCCCCAGTGCCACCCCCTGCCATGGGCAGGGACACCTTCCATAGCCCAGGGTGCTCCAAGCCTCATCCAGCCTGGCCTTGGACCCTCCCAGGGATGGGGCATCCACAGCTTCTCTGGGCAACCTGTCCCAGTGCTCCCACCCTCTGCAGGAAGAATTCCTGCCTGATGTCCCATCTCCATCTCCCTCTTTCCATTTAAACCTGTTACTCCAAACGAATGTGGAAGGTGAACTTACAGTTTCTTTTTCTGTTTTATTCAAGAAATACAGATATTGGAACACAAATGCCCTCAAGATACATTCTTTTTAATTTTATGTCATTTAGCAGAGCTTTCCTTGGTACAAAACAGGATTTAATGTTTTCTATGGGGTATAATAACAAAGTTGAATAAATCTGGTTTTGCTTCCTTGCTCGTTATACTGAAATTCATACTGTTGTTACCCAAATTGATGGCATTTTCTTCTCCTGGGCACAGGCAAGCCGGCGATTGCGCACCGAGATCTGAAATCGAAGAACATCCTGGTGAAGAGGAACGAAAGCTGCGCCATCGCAGACCTGGGCCTGGCGGTGAAGCACGACTCGGTGCTCAACACCATCGACATTCCCCAGAACCCCCGCGTGGGGACAAGGAGGTGGGTCAGGGTGGGCCCCTGGCCGCCAGCCTGGCTCGCCCCGTGGGGACGGCTCCTCTCAGCACTTTCCTCCGTCGGGGACTTCCCCCTCTGCTTTCAGTGTCTGCCGAGCGTTGGCAACAGCCCCAAACCCTCTGTCCCCGCTACATGGGCACGGGAGGCCCGTGCCTGGGCCAGAACTCGCCATCCCACGCCGAGTGTTGCTCAGCAGTGTGGATGTTGCGCGTTGGTAGGACCTTTTCCCACTAGGATGGGCTTCTCCCTGGCCCTGGTGCAGCGTGGCGCGGTCCTTCGTGCCCACTCCCCCTAGCAAACTGACCTCTGTGTACCCCAAAGGTACATGGCTCCCGAGATCCTTGACGATGTGATGAACACCAACATCTTCGAGTCCTTCAAGCACGCAGACATGTACTCTCTTGGGCTGGTGTACTGGGAGATAGCCCGAAGGTGCTCCGTCGGAGGTGAGGTGCCTGGCCGTCTCCGCTCGCAGTCCAGGCCGCCTTTGTCTTAAAGAAGCCAGAAGCAGTTAGGACAAGGGGTAACGGCTTTAAATTGGAAGGGGGAGGTTGGGATTGGATGTCAGGAAGGAATTCTTCCCGCAGAGGGTGGGAGCACTGGGACAGGTTGCCCAGAGAAGCTGTGGATGCCCCATCCCTGGGAGTGTCCAAGGCCAGGCTGGATGAGGCTTGGAGCACCCTGGGCTATGGAAGATGTCCCTGCCCATGGCAGGGGGTGGCACTGGGGAGGCTTTGAGGTCCCTTCCCACCCAAACCATCCAGTGATTCTGTGATCCGTGACCCTGCCCCTGTGCTCAGTCATCTTGGCAGTGTGTGGCAGTAAACTCTGTTCAAGGTGGCCCCAGTTGCTCCTCTGTTCTGTCACATAAAAACCAAACAATTGAGAGTTTATTCTTTGGATTTTGTTACCTACATGTTAAATCTCTCCTAGGGGTCACTGAGGAATACCAGTTGCCTTACTATGACGTTGTGCCTTCTGATCCTTCGATAGAAGACATGAGAAGGGTAGTTTGTGAGCAGAAGCTCAGGCCAAATATTCCGAACCAGTGGCAAAGCTGTGAGGTAAAAGCACTTTTCCAGGTTATTACGAAACTTAAGACTGAATTTTTCGATGGGACAAAGGGAACTGGATGTCCAGCCTCTCCTGAATTTAAATGTGTTTCAGATGTCTCACCCTGTTCCGGCTCCCAGATCAGTGTAGAGCGAACTAAACCAAACGCTGAACGCTCTGGAATATGGGCCCTAATTTAGGATATTATAGAATCATAGAATGGTTTGGGTTGGAAGGGACCTTTAAAGATCATCTAGTTCCAACCCCCCTGCCATGGGCAGGGACACCTTCCACTAGACCAGGTTGCTCAAAGCCACATCCAGCCTGGCCTTGAAGACATCCAGGGATGGGGCATCCACAACATCTCTGGGCAACCTGTCCCAGTGCCTCACCACCCTCTCTGTGAAGAATTTCTTCCTGATATCTAATCTAAACCTCCCTGATTTCAATTTATACCCATTACCCCTTGTCCTATCACTACAGGCTCTTGTAAAAAGTACTCTCCCCGTACCCTTGTAGGCCCTTCAGATACTGGAAAGCTGCAATGAGGTCTCCTCGGAGCCTCCTCTTCTCCAGGCTGAACAAGCCCAGTTCTCGCAGCCTTTCGTCATAGCAGAGGTGCTCCAGCCCTCTGATCATCTCCGTGGCCTCCTCTGGGCACGCTCCAAGTGGTCAATATCCTTCTGATTTATTGCTGTTGTATTCCCGTTTCGAAGAGCTGTATTTTATCTTCCGCTGTTGCGTGTTCAAAGCGAAGGGCAGGAGGTGACAGCTGTATTCCTGACCCGCTCTCCCCGTTTCTGCCGGGCAGGCGCTGCGAGTGATGGGCAGGATAATGCGGGAGTGCTGGTACGCCAACGGCGCGGCGCGGCTCACCGCCCTGCGCGTGAAGAAGACCGTTTCGCAGCTCTGCGTGCAGGAGGACTCCAAGGCCTGACGGAGCTCCCCGCGGGAAGAGAAGGGGAGCCAATTCTTCTGTTCATCTTTCGACATGTGATATTATTTTGATTTTTGGTCTACCTCACGCCACGTGGTTCAGCATTCGGGTGCCCAGCCCGGAGCACTGACACCCGGCTTCATCCTCAGCCGCTGGAAGGGGCACCCTGACGCGCGGTTCGTGCGTTACACGCCAGGTTGATGACTTGCTTGGGTTTTCGGGAGGAAAGTGGGCGCTAGGCTGACCGCGGGAAGGCGCCTGGAGCACCACGGCAGTGTAACTGTTCCTTTCGCCGTGGTGCTTTTCATCCTGGCCGCCCCCCGGGCGTGTCGGGAACAGCTGGTGGTGGTGAGAGCCTGCCACAGAAACCCCACGTTTTGTCCTCAAACCAAATTCAACCGAGATTGCTGCGTGCTCTTACGCAGGAACCTGAAAAGGGGCTGTCAGCAAAATGCTTTTTAAAATACCGTATTTATCGCTACCTAAGCAAATGAACAAAAGGTGGAAATTCCACTGAGCTCCTGTATTGCGAGCAAAAGCTTTGAGTCAGGTTTTCATGAGCTTTTATTTTTGTTGTCTTGGTTTCATGCACTATTATAGCTGGGGTTTGCCGTTCTTTTGCTCGGTTCATTTGCTCATTGAACATATCAATCAAGGGACAACTTTTAATTGTAACAGCTAGTAGGAAAAATCATAGAGGCAATACTTTTCCAGTAGAAACGTAGGGGGTGGACTGGGGGAAATTCTACCAAACCTGAGAAAGTATATATTTTTAAAAGATATCTTGCCAATTTGTCGCTGGCATCCGATTTTTTTTTTTAGTGCCTTTTGATGTTTTAACACAATGAATTCCAGGAAAGCGGTTGAAACCTGGCAGAGGTTCGCTTCTCGCTGCGGTGCCGTACCGCGCAGCCCGCCTCGCGGTGTCGGAGGATGGGGACCCCCCCGCCACCGGGAACGCCAGAGCTCCTGCTCGAGGCCATTCGCTGGAGCGGTGCCCGTCACTTTGGAGATTAATGTGCTTGCTACCAGCCTGGGTCCTGGCACTTAATGTTTCAAACGTACCTGCACTTGCCAGGGTCACTGCTCGCAGCCTAGGCGCCTCAGAATGTAAATTCAAAGCGCTGCTGTCCTTGCACGACGCCGATGCGGCCCGTTCAGAGGTTTCGTGTGGCTTTCTGTAGCAGCACCGGGTGGCTGAAAAGTGCTCACATCTCTCCTCACATTTCCATTATACTGCAAGCTATCAAAAGCAGGCGTTTTTTCCAAATTCACTGATGTTCTGGCATTCTGTGAATTCTGCCCCGCTCCGCCGTCCACACGTTGGAATATGTTGCTTTAATATTTTTAATAGCCCAAATTCTGCATCTCCTTATGATGAGGTTCTTTACATGTTTTTAAACCCAGGTGGTCCGTGGAAACACAGCCCAGAGATATTTCCAGAATAGCAGAGCTCTGCGGAAACGCGGTGCAGCACCCGCGGCTCCGTGGAACGAGCTGTTAGCTGATTACGGCACTGAGATCGGTCCTTCAGCTGAGGCCTCTTGAGCCGGGGCTCTGACGGGGAAGGCTGGGTCAGACCTTGGCCGAGCGGGATGGTCAGTATTGTCAGTCCTCCATGTTTCACCCTCCACGCTCGGGACGTTACGGGCTCCGTGGATGTTGAGTGCCCCGTAAACGGGCTCTCGTGCAGGGCACTTCGGCAGAACTTGTAGCACTCCCCGTGTTAAGCAACGCTGCCTTGCTCTCTGCTCTGTTAGCTGGGGTGGGGGGGAACGTTTCTACTGGATTGCTTGTAGGTTTTTCTTCTCCAGCATGCTCTCTGAGACACGAAGCCATCCCACCAGGTGTAATTCTGACCTGCTTCAGCTGCCTGAACTGCGGCAGGGAGCTCAGCAGATGCGCGATGGCTCAGCTGTTCGAGGGGTAATCGTTGCGGCCGGATGATCCAAAGCGTGATGCTGCCTGGAGTATCCAAACGTTGGCAAACGTAAGATCCAGCGTTTGTTCTTGTAGAGTGCAACTCGGAAAGAAAACCTGCTAAAAAGGACCAATCAAGGATGATCATTATTTTAGTGAGAAAAGGAAATGTTTTACCCATTGCAACCAGCTCTGACTGCAGCTGCAGAATAAGGTGTCTGAAATCAGGGGCGGTGGAGTAGGAGCGGCTATAAACAGCGTGCCCGGTGAGGCCTCTGAACGGCGGAGGCGAGGGGAACTTTGCAGACCTGCTTTGGCACTCGGGAAGGTGCCCCAAAGGGAACGGTCCGTCTTTCCAGAGCTCCCGGCGCGTGCGGGCCCAGTTAGCTCCTTCTGCTGAGAAAAAAGAGCCACAAGTTTGTGAGCACCCGGAGTGGGGTGTTAGAATACGCGTGCAAACAGTGAGCAGCAAGGAGGGCATAGCCAGGAGCGAAGCCTGCTGCGTGACGGCGCGCTCTCACCCGGTGACCTGCCAGTATGGGCAGTCCCTGAATGACCTGAGGAACCCCACAAACGCCTCCTGCCTATTCCCGAGCATCCGCTCCTGGCAGCGCCACGCACCATCCCGGCGCTGCCAACCCGTGCTGGAGTTGGGAATCATGGAACGCCAGTAGTCGTGTGGAATAGCGCTCAATTAACTGAAGGGAATGGTTTTAAACCCAAAAGCGCTGTCATTTCGGGA